CACAGGTGATTTGTGCCCACAGTCAGCTGGCGCACAAGTGATAAGTCTCTCATTTAGTTTTATGCCGCATTCAAGATGGCGGCCCCCACATAGTAAATAGCGCATTCATTTTATTATCACGCTTGCGCCAGCTGACTGTGTTTGTTCCGTCCTTGCTGTGTACATAGTTAGCCAGTATGTGTACCAACTGCCCGCGCAGAACTTCACTAAAAATATTTCAAATTGCACATCTTATTATCGTACTGGTGTCTTTGCGATTAAAATCAACAGTGGAGACGAGGATTGTTATAAATACATCACTGCCTGGAAGGCAGATTGAGATCGCAAAAAAGTAGTGAATTACCAAGCTAAACAGACTTCATCGTACACACACTCAAGCTACGGTATTCCTAATGAGTGTGGCGTTATGACGAGTCAGTGACGCTACGTATAAAGATGGATAAAACTATATGCGGAGTCACGTGTCCAATATGGCGTTACACGTGTGAAAATACCATATACATGATGTTACTTTAAAATTACACACGTTCCTAGTTAGAATTGATCGATTTTTATCGAATGTATGATGGGAGTATTTTAACAAACCTTGGACGGAAATGTTACCTGGTCCAAACGGTTGTGCACCGTGTATATGAAGGCCCAATCAAAGGTCGAGTACCATTGATTCACCGGAGTTCTTAAAAGGTACGCCACCACAGGGCGTACCTTATTAACGATATGCATTTTTTCACAATGTTTTGTAACATATTAAACGAATATTTCAAAATTATCAAACAGTTGTATTCGCGCTAACTCTGACGCCGTCCGTGTGTACTGTGGGTTTGTTAATCTAAAGCATAACAATGTCCCATCCAATGTTTCGTTTATTTGTAATTCTTCTAATCACCATCAAGACACCTTTTTTGTATATATTTAAAAGTAGTCAATATAGTTGATGGTGAAATCACATTGAAAAATTAATGAATGAACAAACTAATTAAACTTTGTGAATTCTGTAATCGTCGAGTTATTAACCTGTTTAATGTTAGTCTCATAAAAAAATACCAATTGTTTCGTCGCAATTATTCCGACTGTTGGGCAGCGTGAATAATCAGTGTTTACTGAATGCTGTGACTGTTCTATTTGGCCAAAGTGTGTAACAATGTACATTTAATTTGCAGGAGATATATTAACCAACCGAAGGCTAGACTTTGATGACGTCAATAATCGGAGATACGAATTTAAAGGTAGATGCCCATGCTATAATGTACAAGCGAATTGCGTTGTATTGGTATTTATGCTCCCCGAAGACTCTGTTGTGCGTTGCCTTTATTACCAACAAACTATTTGTACAAGTGTACTGCAATTATGAAATGAACATAGTTATTCGATTAGTTGAATTATTAATTAGTTGTGTGTTCGTCATTATGATAATGTATTTGAAATGCGACAAAGTAAGCAATATCATTCGAGTTTGAATTGTGAGGTGATTTTTTACACTAATAATGCACCTTAGTAGTTAGCCTTTTAATAGAGAAATTAGTGTTGTAAGCATATATTTACTTTGATATGGTAGATATATTAAAATTATCAAGCACCTGGTGGGAGTTGTATAAAAACCGAAAGACGTGTGGAATTATCACCTTTACTTGCCATGTTTGAAATCTGCACTTGTTGAGTGTCTGTGATTGGCCACCGCTCACAGTTCATGGGTCATACAGGATCAAAGCTGTTTGTGGGCGTAAGCCAAATAGTATAGTATTACTGTTCAGCGTGGCCTACCATACGTATATAATATGTATGATACATGTTCGTATTTGATTCATAATTGGTATTAGTGTCAGCGGGTATATGCTTTTGACGAGCTCTTCTTTCACTGTAACCGGAACTGTAATCTTTAGCCAGTTTGTCGTTTCATTTGTTGTTCATCCGTTTCACAATCATTTATATTTCGGTTCCAAACCATTTACAAGGTTTAGTCAGTCACCATGTGTTCACATCTGCAATACGTGCAATTTCCTTTACAGTACTTGCCACTGACCGAGGCAAACCTACTCTAACATCATCGGCCTCCATCAAAATACAAGTGGTTGACGTCAACGACAATGCGCCAAGCTTCACCGAACCTGTCTATTACGGTGACATTGATGAGAACTCGGCAACTGGGACAACTGTAACCATGGTAAGATGCATATTATTACAGTTTCTCTGCCTGAGTAGTATTGATCTGGAGTATGGGTAGTGAAGCTAATCAATTCATTAGTCAATCAATCAATCAATCAATCAATCTAATTAATTTTAAATCTGCTAGCTCGGTGGATGTATCAATCATTCTTGCAGAGAACTGGTATTTATTAAATCGCTGATGTCTTTTAATGATGTGAAAAATCCATCTCTTTATAACCCTGAAACCAGCTTGCACGACGAACCACATTGAATCAATCATTGTAGTTCAGTATTTCAATATATTGGACCAACAGTATATAATATGATTGATTGATGGCTCCTTGAGATAATCAATTGTGTCCTGTCTATGTCAACAAATTAAATATTACATTTAATTCAATTTATTTTTAAATGGTGCATTTCAGATTCCTTGTATCGATGCTACTGATTCTGACGCAGGCCTCAATGCATCTATAGTTTACACAATCACTGGTGAAGATAGCAACCAATTCCAGATAGACAGCATTACTGGTATAATTACGACAACAGACAACGAGATTGTACTCAATCTTGACCGTGAGGATAAAGACGTCTATCAACTTGTTGTTACTGCGTCAGATAGAAATGGCTTAAATGAAAGTCTTAGTTCTATTGTTCCTATTATTATAACAATCAACGACGTCAATGACAATGCACCAATATTTGATGAAAGCTACTATTACTTCTCAGTAAGTGAAGATAGACATGTTGGATACTCTGTATCTTATGTGAGTGCGTATGACGATGACATCGGTATAAACTCACGACTGAGTTATTTTGTTATTGATGGAGATGGGAGCTTTGGTGTGGACCCAATAAATGGCACGATATCTGTGTTAAGTCCACTCAACCGTGAGATAACCCATAATTCCACTTTAACAGTCTTAGTTGTAGATGGCGGCGAAGATATCCTTTGTGACACTGCCAAAGTACGAATTAAAATTTTAGACGTCAATGACAATGCTCCTGTGTTTGATAGCGAGTTATACCTAGCAAACGTGACAGAAAAAGCGTCGATAGGAGTGTTCGTATTGAGAGTTAAAGCAACCGACCCAGATGAAGAAGATAATGGCGTTGTACGTTATCGTCTGAATTCCACCGATTTTACTATTCAAGAATCAACAGGTAATATATCAATAAAAAGAAAATATCCGACGCTCATTCTATTTACCTGAATTGTATTAAGAACTTTTAAGCTTACTCCATTTCTGTATCCACAGGGGTTATCTTAACCGCCCGAACATTTGATTATGAAGTTCTTGTTGATAGACAACATGAATTTGAAGGTAATATCAATCAGTGAAATAAATCTATATAATGTTTGATTGCCATGAATCGTTGACTTCGAACGCCTACTGTATGTATAGTCCTCTTTCAAATGCATCAAATCAACCGAAACACTTAGAAATGGTATTTGCCAACCATCAAATAAATGTATAATATTAAGTTAATTTGGGTCTGGAATATTGTGGGGGTCAATCCGACTATAGTATATCGGGATAAATGTATTTTCTAATAATCATCCAACAAAACATGTAAATTTATGTTTTTAAAAATAATATTATATCAGATTGCGCAGTAACCACAACTAGACATGATCGTATGCCCCCCCGCGAATAATATTGGTTCATGGAGGTTGTTTATTCTCTTTTACTGTGGATTTCCACTCTAACAGACATATAGGAACACTTTCATCTGAATCACAAATAATATAATAATCTCTAAATAATTATTTTTAGTCTACGCCGAGGACAATGGTCTGTCACCACTCACGTCTACAGCATTAATACGAGTGATGGTATTGGATGTTAATGACAATGCGCCGATCTTCAGTCAGGAAACATACAAATCGTATGCACTAGATGGCATGCCTCAAGGATACCCTATCGTCGTCACCCATGCCTATGACAACGATAGTAGCAGTAATGGTGAGATGTCATACCACATAACAGAGAATACCACAGACTTGTTCAGGGTTGACTATAAAGGAGTGGTCAGTGTGAATGGATTGGTGAACTACGATGAATTGATGGAGAATGGATTGCTAGATATTGATGATTCTCTGCAGTTTTTGGTGGTTGCTATGGACCATGGGGTGACGAGTTATAACAGTAGCTGTACCATCAATGTCACGATAACTAAAGTACCGTTAGAAGGTAATTTATTTTTTCACTATCGCTCATTTAATATAGACATATTACATGTGTATCCCAGTAAAAATGTCTTTTCAAACCAAAATACAGTGCATGTATTTTTTCAATAGGATTAAGTTAGGCTAATGCCAGTTGGTTTAAGTAATTTTTTAGTACATGGAACCTGAGATTTTAGGTTAAACATTAAAAAAACTATTTCAAATTAGAAATTTCTCAGTTAAAGTGTACATACTATCTGATTTACCTTTGAACAGAATCCGTATGTGAGTACAATGGTACCTGGTTTGGAAGTAACTTTTATCAGTTTGAAGTGGAAGAACACTCTCCTCAAAACACGTTTGTGGGTGACGTTTCAGTAGAAGCGTACGACATGGAAGAACCAGTTTACTCAATACTAGAAGACTATGCTGACAGTGTATTCGACGTGACTGATGATGGTTATATTGTCACGGATGGTGATATAGACAGAGAAGTGAATCAGACCATAACATTCACTGTTGTTATTCAGAACCAATATAACACTGTCACAGTTAAATACGTTCCTGTGCACGTAACTGTGTTAGACATCAATGACAACGTTCCTATATTTTCACAAACAATATATATTACAGAGATATTGGAATACTCATCAGCTGACACTTTCATTTCACCTGTGTATGCAAGTGATTTAGATTCAGGATTAAGAGGCAAAATTAGCTACGGACTTTATCTTAGCAACTATTTTTGGATGGATAACCATCACTTGCGAAGTGCCCAGAAACTTGTCATTAGTGAAATGCTGGATGCTGGGGTGATCTTCATTAATGATGTTGTAGATGTAGATATATATGCAGTAGATGGATATGGGCGTCTGGGAAGCAATAACGCAACAGTTAGAGTGAAACTGACATCAGATAGCATTAATAACAATAGAACATATCTCAATGAAAACGTCTCCGAGAATCAACCACATGGAACCTATGTAGTAAATGTTACTACAGATGCATTTCCTTCTTATGATATTAAATATGGATTTGTGGAATCTAACGTTACTGACTTTTGCATTGATGAAACTACAGTAAGTTGTATGATTATGAATAAAGCAATTTTACTTAATGTGAGCGACTTTTACAGCCAAAATATATTCATTACTACAGTCATAACAATAACTAATGTTGTAAACTTACTATTATCTGGCATAGCAATGGTTCAATATTTTATACAATGACAAATTTACCATATTTCTTACAACATGAATAGTTGGCCTTTGATACAGTACACTTCAGCTACGGGAAGATACATTTTAAGAAAGTTTCGAGTTAGTAATGTTAGTAATTCTTAACGATCAAATTATGTGCTCACTCTTCACCAGGGCGAAGTTGCCACAGCAAAACCGCTCAACCGAGAAGAAAGATCTTTATATCAGTACTCAATTATGGTATATATTGACGACGAAGCCGTGTGTCTCGCCGATCCTGTAAGTATGGTACTAATGGATATGTTGCGAATGCTGTATATTAAAGTGCGTTTGTTTATTCTGTACAAACAACTACATATATGTGCCACATACGAAAATATAAGTGTACCCCATGCCAACCTCAGTTAAATATCAATGTTTTTCACACCCAAAAATCTTTATCGGTTGATTTTAATTACGATTTCAGATTGTTGCGGAGCTCAAGATCACTGTGACAGATGAAAATGACAATTTTCCATATTTCCTACGTGATTATTATTATGGCCAGGTTGAGGAAAATGACCAGCTTGACGATACTTTGCCACAAGGCAATGAAGAAGTTCTTCTGGTAGGGATTCCGAACATATGGACAAACACTGAGTCAAAATTGACATTGAAAATCATATGATTAACCAATTCATAATAATGGAGTAATTATATCTTCACAGGCCTATCCAATAATGTCAATAGACATGGATTATGGATTCAATGCTTCAACGATCTATACTCTATCTGGTGATGGTCATGAACAGTTTAAAATAGATAACAAAACAGGTGTCATCACAACAACTGATGATGAATCAGTTTTAGACTTAGATCGTGAAGAACGAGATCGTTATGATTTGGAAGTGATAGTGTCTGATCGGGATGGTGTAGATGATCTGAGTCTTAATTCCAGTGTTTCATTAACTATTGTATTACGTGACGTGAATGACAACTATCCACAGTTTACAAAGGATGAGTATTACTATGTAATCTGGGAAAACACGCCCTCTGGATACGAGATTGACGTTATTAATGCCACGGATAATGATAGTGGCAATAATGCCATTATTAGTTTTGCGATTCATTCTGGTGCTGATGGTTATTTCAAAATCAACCGAAACAATGGTGTGTTGAGCGTGGCAGACACACTTGACCGTGAATACAAGGCTAAATATGTGATTACAATTTCGGCGAGTGACCATGGTGTACCTATTCTAACAACCTACATTGAGATGGTCATTGAATTACTCGATGTCAATGACAACCAACCTACATTTACGCAAAATGCTTATAGAGCTCAACAAGAGGAAGGTGTCGCCACTGGAACAAGTGTGTTAAGGGTAACAGCTGTCGACTCAGATGCAGGGTCGAATGGTCAAGTAAAATATACGGCCAATACAACTGATTTCACAATAAATAGTGTTACAGGTAAATACACATTATATGTTATTTTGGTAAATGTGCAATATCTGTTTCCTCTACATGCAACAATGAAAATATAACAAAAAGGGGTTGTGTGCCATCGTATATCTAGCTGCTGAGATATTACATGCTGTATAATGTAAACCAATTTGATGAACCATCCAAGAAAGGGCTTTGGATATTTCCTAATCTGCTGTGGCTAGACTATCCGTTTTTTTCAAGATAGTTAAAGCAAGTTACATTCACCGAGCACTTCTATATGATCATTTCAGGTGAATTAACCACACATGCTGCACTTGATTTTGAAGATACTGGTGGCAGAGTTTACAAGTTCGATGGTAAGAGATATACACACAGCCACACACAGCCGCTCATATTCAAACTACACCAGTTTATATGGCAATGTTTATTACCTTCTTGTTTTAGTATTTGCAGTGGATAATGGCGAACCGTCCCATACAGCATCTACTCTGGTTACAATCACTGTCACTGATATCAATGACAATCCACCAGTATTTGCAGGCACATATGAATGTACTATTGATAAACTCATGGTTGAAAGTGACATACTAGTGATAGTGAAGGCCACGGATGATGACAGTACTACAAATGCAGAGCTTGTTTACTCACTCGACAATGATGATTTCTCTGTTGACGACAGTGGTGTTATTACCCTCGCTAAAGATGCTGCAGATATCACCTGTGTTCAACCTGAATTTGATTCCCGTTGTGTTGTGATATGTGTCACTGCACACGACGGTGGTGAACCTTCTCTCTATGCAAGCACCAATGTGTTTGTGTGGAGAGGTGGTTCAAATGGCAGACTTGAGTTTAGTCAAGCTGAGTATCGTGGTCGTGTTTTAGAAGAACAAAACCCACCTGTATATGTGTTAACAGTATCAGTCAGTAATGATGATACTGTCGATTTCCACATTACAAGTCACGTAGAAGAGTTCACAATCAACAAATCAACGGTATGTATTCGTTTCAAATTAATGAACTGTATATATCTATAAGTCAACCTAACGAAAGGATTACCAGTTGGTTGGGATATGGGTAATAAGATTGGTGGACAAATAAATGGACGTACAAACAAAGTATGTTCAATTATGTGATATAACTAATAAATTTCATTTTTTATCAAAAGGGTGATATATATACTGCAATGAAGTTGAACAGAGAACTTAAAGATTGGTATTCCTTCTCCGTTTCTGCTAGCGACATCGATGGTATAAAATATGATGCATATTCTCTGGTAACTACTGTCTTTTTTCAATATGTCGCTTTTCACATATAGTTGTAACCAACATATTATTAGTTTAGCTGTTATTATTTTATCATCACATCAACACGTGACTTGAGAAACTGATTCGCCAACAGGTAAACATATTGGTTAATGACATCAACGACAATAATCCAATATTTGACAGACCGTCTTACAGAGGCGAAGTATATGAGCGTGATTATTCAACATCCCCTACAGCCGTATTGACTGTGGTCGCGATTGATGCCGATACGGGTCCCAATGCTGAAATAATGTATAGCATAACAGTTGGACATAATGGTAGGTTATTTATAGGTGGTAAGCAATTCGTGATTTTCACTTAGAATATAGTGTCTTTCGTTGTATTGTGCGTGAAATTTATGTGCACGAATCGTGATTTGATACACATCTTTATTAGGTGAGTTTTACATCGATTTGAATGGAACCATATATGCTGTTGGTAATGTTGACAGAGAAGAAGTTCCTTTGTATACACTAACAGTAACGGTATGTTTTGTTCGTGTAATACATTATATAGTCCATGTTATTACAATTAGTTTTTCATGATTGCCTACTGGGTTGCTGGGTTCCACTGCCCGCATGTATGATATTCGTTATGAACCTATATGTGCCATTGCATACTTTGTGCAACAATGAGTCATTCCTGTAACAGTACTAGATTTCACGTGTAATTGAGCCATACATTATTATTACCTTTATTTACAGGCAACAGACAATGGGGTACAACCACAGAGCAGTACTGTTTCCGTAGACATCATAGTTACTGATATCAATGACAACACGCCTACATTCACACAACGTCACTACAATGGTTCTGTTGAAGAAAATGTCCAATACTACATTGAAATCGTCCACGTGATTGCAACTGATGCAGATGAAGGCACCAATGCTGATGTGTACTACACAATTGTGTCTGGGGATGACGGCAACTTTGAGATTAACTGTGAGTACATAGATAACTATATATAGATTTACATACTAAGAGCATCGTTGATTGATTTCAAATGTATATATATATAATTATCACTTCATTAGATTTAATTAGCAAGTGTTATTTTGTCTTACTTTTTTGGTTTACTACACAGTTTCCAAGTAAAGAGCTTATTTCACCGTTCTTAGAGAAAATATATATGAATGACTATAATTTTGATATTATAAAAAATGTAATTTCATATATTGGTTATATTTTATGCAGTGTATTCTGGGATTATCGCCCCAACTACAAATGCTGTAATTGATTATGAGACTAAATCTCACTACATTTTGCGGGTTTTAGTGGAAGATGCTGGATTCCATGCTTTACGTAACGTTACCAGCGTTCATATAGAAGTCATCGATGTTAATGACAATGCGCCTTATTTCATCGGTGAACCATACGATGCAGAGGTCCCCGTTACTGCTGATCTGAACTCCACGGTATTTACTGTCGTTGCCGAAGATGCTGACTCTGGGGAGAATGGTAGAATCATTTACACTATGAAAGGTAACCTGGAAATCCCGTGTATATATCGTATCCAACCAGATACATTCGATTTTGTCGATTATGTTGTTTACGTTTAGTTCGTAGTGTTGGAGGAATTTGTGATGAAAAGACGGTGTCTAAATAACACATATTGTATTATTCCACAAATACATGTGTGCACTTTTAAATTTATTTTGTAGCGTTCTATTGCTATTAAAATTCCAAGTGTAATTATTGTTTTCAGGCTGTAGTATCCATTGAGTGTAGGAAAATCTTTCGGCCCATGGGAATCGCGAAAATTGTTACCAGCATGTTCTTGTTTGTTATTATATAGGAAGTGAGTACTTCATTATTGGAAGGGATACTGGTGAAATACGGGTGATAAAGGTGTTGATAGGCGGTGTGGGAACGCACGAGTTGACCATTAACGCTTCTGATAACGGGAAACCGCCACTTTCAACAACAACCATGGTACGTTCAGAACTTATTGCTTCACATTTCACCACAGTAATTTCTGCATATGTTGAAACAATCACGCCAAGATGATTGAATTGTGAAATACAATATCAGTAATATAAACTCTGTGAAGTAAATATTGAATAATTGTTATTCTAAGGTTACTATCACTGTACGGGAAGTCAACATATACGCACCTGAATGCGATCCTTCAAATTACACTGCAGAAGTGAGCGAAAATGTGCCCGATGGTACTTACGTTGCCACGGTTACTGCCACTGATAGAGATTCGGCAAACAAATCTGTATGGGAAATTAATGGGTCCGGTATTGTATATTATGAAATTATTCAAGGCAATGATGAAGGTAAGTTAAAACAGTATTTCGTACATGCTTCATAGTGTTACCACAAGATGATGGCTTAGTTGTGAAGTATTATACCCAAATACTAATGCAGACACTGTATATTTCTAATAATACATATACAGACATTGTAAATGTCCTATCTGTCGCAGGTTTCTTTGAGATACATATAAACAGCGGGGAAATACGAACTAATGGTACTATTGACAGGGAATTGGAAGCGTTCGTGTACCTAGTGGTTTCGGCGTATGATGGAGGTTTGCCATCAAAACAAGACAATGCTACTATCGATATTACGTTATTAGATGTTAATGATAACGCACCATCTGTATACCCCAGTGAGATGCACTCGTGTATTTACCATGTAAGTGCCCATTCTGGTTGCCATCCATAACACATGTCATTTGTCAATGTGGAAAAATGTACCCTAGAATTAAATGCATAAACTCAATATAAAAAAATGGTAAAGCAAACGCATCTCTGAGAAAATATAAGCTAAGTAAAGCTTATATAATTTAAATTATAAAATACTAATATAATATTTCTTTCATTGTGTACAGGACTCTCCAATTGGAACATTTGTCGTGGATGTTAACGCCACAGACCCAGATATGATTGGAGATATAACATATTCATTGTCACCTACAGTGGAATCAGTAAGAGACATGTTTGAAATCGACGAGCTGTCCGGCGTTATCACAACCGACACAAACTTTACCGTGGACATGACGGATATGGAATATTTGGTAGTCAGAAATAAATGTTTATTTTTATTCAGATTGTAAACAATCGTTTAAATTAGAAGAAAGTGCAGAACAACGCATTTGTTTGTTCCTATTACGAATGCAATGCAATACAAATCACCAAGACGGAATATTTAGTATATATGTATGTTCATTCATTGTGTTTGTACGATATTGATTTTTCAGTTGACGGTTTTAGTGAAAGATGGCAACCCAGTCCACAGCGACTATGGCTGTGTCACTATCGAAATACGTTATAACGATTTAAACTTGCACAGTCCTAAATTTTCACAAGGTGAGATAATTGACAAAAAATATTTGTGCTAATTTTGTGATATATGTATATATATTTATTTATACTAATCATTATGCCAGTTTTATGTGATATTCTTCAGTATATCGATTATATATAATATGAATGTCATTGGTTTGATTGATTGATTAACTCTGGGGAGGAAAGCAGTACAAGCACATTACAGGCGTCTTATTACCTCCCAACTAATTTATTTAGTTAATTTCTATTAACAGTGTTACCGCGAGCTTTGAGTTTAAACTAAACTCGCAATCTCATTGTCAATCTCTTTTGAAACATTGCTATATTCACAGGGACATCGCCAGTGGTGTATGTGTTTGATTTTGGCTTTTTCGATCCTAACAAGTCGACGCATCTGAATACAACCTTTTTCAAATGAATTCAACTTTGAAAACCCCTCTCTCCATCAAATATAGTTAATGTTCTTAATTTCCAAAAATCATAACTTTTACTTGACAATGTTTCATAAAAAATAGGGAGATGGCGGTCTCAGTTCGGCGCCAGCTGTAATATACTGCGTCAATATGAGCGACAATTTTAGTGTATTTTCTAAGTAATGATTGCAATAATAAAATATATAATAGTTCAAATGTATCGTCCATTTATTGGTATTGTATATTCATCTTCTTAAATCAGATCATCTTCACCAGCCATGGTTCGTTTATTTGGCCATCGCCTAACCACTACGTGGTGGAATATGTTTATATCGAGCCCGTGAAATCACGCGATTCGGACGATGAAATCAGATGTGCTTGAAACCCTGGTCGGACACGTGGTTTAGCATTATAGAAATATTAACAATGATTTTATTGTTATTCTTCAGATGAATACTCCACAGTGGTACCGGAATACCTACCAATTGGGGCAGTTCTTGATCTAGATATCATGGCTATCGATATAGATGATGTTGATGACGGAGCAGTGACGTATTCACTTGCGTATGAAGGAAATGAGAGGGTAAATCGAACACAATAATACATATTCGTAACACGTGCTTAAAGACGAAAGGGTGAAAAACCCTCATTCAAGCTCATATGTTGTTCACCTTTATAGTATCGTTATTTTCCGTTCTAGGGGATATTTGAGATCGATCCAATGTCTGCCAATATCTCCACATGTTATTTGCTGGATCCTTACGAGGATACGCCATCATACAATTTGACTGTTATCGCTACCGATGCAGGTGAACGACCCAAATCAAGGTAGACGTTTTTTTCGCATTTCACGCTAGCGCGAATATACTCACATATTGATACAATATGGAAAGAATATGTCCCACTTATATTGGTGTGTGCACATTCATTACTAGCCATACAGTTCAATTAGTTAGTTCCTCTATAGATAACATTTTATAGTTTAGCATCCAGCTGTCATATATAATCTAGCTATAAATATGACGTCATCATAAAATACTACCGTATCTCCGTTTTCCGGTCCATTTTTTCTGACAGGGCAAATTCCTTCGTTCTACTCACATTGACCATACTGATTCAAACATTTGGAAATGGTCACACAAGGTACATAAGACAGTATGTGCAATCTGATTGTGCCACGTTTATAGGGAAATTTACTCGCCTAAGAACACGAAACAAATAACTGATACCAATCTGAAAAGAAATCTGTGTTGTTTTCTAATTCTGTAATATATTATATTCTCAGTACCGTTCCTGTAGTGATTGTTGTATCAAAAGTAACTCGGCCAACCGATCCAGAATGCTACAATAAAGGTGAGAGTGTTAGTAGTGGTACTAGCAGTGCACTGATAGTGTCGCCCGATGCTTAGACTCATTGCTATACATCTTTTTTACTTGTACACATAATTTAGTTAGACTTAAATACCAGCAACAAAAGATTCTGTTTAAAGCGGGGGAATCGTCACCTGCGCATGCGTCAGATGGCCATAGCGTGTCATTGTTTACAAACAAGCGTCTATCCATGAGCCTTTGCGTTAACGTTGTCAGCGTGCATTGTTATCGTCGCTTGGAACTCAATTCCCGCGCGTGCACAGGTGACGACCCTCCCGCGTTAAGTCACGCGCTTGATAGTTGTTGCGTGAACAAAGGAAAGTGTTCAAACGTGACGTCAGTGTGGCACACATTTTTCAAATAAAAAAGACATGTCTGTATAGCCCTAAACGTGTTTTGGCCGAATATATTATAACTATATCTACTACATAAGTATAACTGTTTACAACGAGAACTTCTAACTTTTTTTATTTATATGCGACTAAAATGTTAAATTGCAGTCGAGTGTGACAACTGTGAACATACCAACTCATGGGCAATAGTTACAACGATATTACTAACTATCATAGTGGTTCTTGCTATAGTTTTTGCTGTAAAGTACTATTGCATGTAAGTATGAATAAGTAAAGCTTGGTTGTTGATTAGACATCATATCTTGATTTTTTCACAAGTTCAACTTATATTACACGGTCGTTCTGTTGCCCAGTCCGCTCGCATGTAAATCTCTTTTACCATCACAAAACAAGAAACTGGGCGTTTAAACTGAGTTTTATCCTAAAGATTTTGTTAGCAATGGTATTATTATTATTATTATTATTATTATTATTATTATTATTATTATTATTATGTTTCAGGTCTAAAGAAAGCCTTAGTGAAGATCCGGTAAATACATTTTCTCACAGCTAAAAACACAAATTGTAATCCACTGGACTTTATAAATTTCTTTTTCTTTTGTATGAAAAAAAAAATAAATACTCTCTATTTTCGATGGACCACACTGATATATCTCCTATATATTTAGCAATAGCCTGCATGTGGTTCAGCTATTTAGAAATGTTAGTTAAGGCTTAGTATTTCATTTGTGTGTGTTTTTGCTTCACATTTAATAACGCCCTTGTTTATAGTACCAGATGTATGTTGATAAGATGACTAGACATTCACTGTTTCAATTCCAGTTTCCGCCAATGTTACCACCCAGACCAGTGAAGTATGACAATGATAAAGTAGTTAGTGGGAAGGAAACACGTGGATATAACGTGTATACATTGCCACATGAAATAAATCAAACGATTAATAATAGGTAAGTAAATGTAATCTCTAATTGTTCTTTGCAATGCATGTTCACTATTCTTACTATTGTTACCATAGTGACATCACTCGCATAGTTTGGCTCGCACGACGTTGCAGTATTATTTAGGATCAACAATTTGCATGTTTTAGGTAGATATTATAAACATATATTACAGGAATTTGATAAATACATTGTTCACTAATTTTGTTCAGTAGTGGCAAGTTCGCAAGTTTTTAACTTTTCAGACACATTCTCGGTAATCACGTGACGACTGTAGCCATTGGTCGATCACATGTTCATTTTACCATGCCTAAGATTTTGAAAGGGAGATGGGCAGCGATATGCTAATTCAACTTAGTGTTTAGAGTAATAAAGCTGGACTATCTGTAATGAGCCTAGTATCTCTACAGTGTAAGAGTTACCTGCCAAGCAAGTGGTAATTTCCTGCATACTACATACGTACCTTTCGATTCAGTAATCTTGGGCAGTCATACGATATTATTCGTGTGTATGTTTTTCAGTGTCCCGGCAATACCGGCAGCGACGCATTCAGTACCTAATTATCTAGTGATGAGGGAACCAGACACAGAATACCTGGACCTGGACAACATGCAAGGTATGTTTGTGAACGATTCGAAATGATGTAATTAGGTTCAGATATGCTGAACACCCAAGCAATCACTGGACAATCAGTCATGTGTTATGTGCAAAATTGTACTGTTTATTGCCACGTTCCAGCAGTAGCAATTTGCTGAACAATCTTGTTTGAAAGATTTTGGTCAAAAGTAAATGCCTAGCTCAAACGAGATCATTAAGAAAGAATCGAAAAGGGAAACCCACATATATCAAAGTCGTTTATGTAATAATTTATACACTGGTCATGTCATCTGAGGTAAAACACAAGTAAAGCATTTCCCTGAGCTGGATTGATAGTTCACATATGGAATTGATATATTCCATTTACATTATCTACAGCAGAGACAGTTCCTAACTATCTTGTGATGAATGATGGTATAGAACTTGGTGCCGAATACTCTGACATGGACAATATGGAAGGTAAATTAGCAAGTGAGCTATTCGAGATGAAGTTTTGGGTTTAAATAGTTGCAATGCCGTACGCTCATCCAATTACTAAACAGTGCCTATATATATATATATATATATATATATATATATATATATATATATACATATATATATATATATATATATATATATATATATATATATATGAAAAGTTCCGAAGTAAACAAAGCACCATTGCGCCAACTCTAATATTAGCATTTGTTATTTGATAAAAGTGATTTTCCAGTTTTTGATATCAATATCGCTACTTATCACGGACGTAACTACCAAGTGATCAACATGGATAATTTACAAAACAATTAAATGTTAATTCTGGATTTGAAATCTTTTGGCCAAAAGATGTCGTTAGGTGTGAATATCGAATATCGCGGAAACACATACACGTATCACAGATGCCCATGCGATAGGTTGCTGTATCCGCATGATAACTTCATTTTATCGTAGAAGTAATGATTTTACACTGCACAAAAAATTATACGAAGTCGAATACAAGCATAGCATTCCGTAAAATCGTATTTTGTTATCTTTATATGTGAGCATATTATTACTTATGTGGAATAAATAAATATTCCGATTTCCATCTCCCACAGAATATGGAGATTACCTTCAACCATCTACTGGACAGGAATCTCATGAATATTTAGATCTAAGGCAATCACAACAGAATTACATGAACACAGGTGATTATGATTCAATTATTTACACACCCGGATTCTGCTATTATGGTTTAGATATTCATGTATTATCGATATTCATATAAATATATTCATCATTTTCTTTGGTATGACAGGAAACGAATACAATGAAGTGTTCTTGTCAAAGGATGTCTTGGACTTCATATCCCAGATCCAGCTAGAGAATCACGAATCGGCGGCAGAATAATATATTAAACTATATGAAGATTTAACTATATATCTGTTCATTTTGCGATAATATCATTAATTTTCTATTTTTGGCGAATATTTTTGTCATTTTTGTTGAAAAATAATGTTTTCACTTCTTCTTGAAAACTACTAACCGGGTTACTTTGATATGTTGTATTAAGTACCCTGGGTTAACTTTTATCAGGTTTGTTCATTTCGGGATATTTTTAATTCTCTAATTTTTAGCGATTATTTTTGTGATATTCTGTTAAAATGCCATTGTTGACTTCTTAAACCGCTACTCCAATTTGATTTGATATAAGGGTACCTTGGATTCGATTACTTTCTTTTTGCGACATTGGGGGAACACTTTACTTATTCACAGACGTATCTTTTCAGCAGAGTTGATGAATCTATTTGGATACTATTAAATTTATCACACATATGTGTTGGAACGCTTATAATAATTTGTTTTCCACTATGGTGCTTATGTAACAGTGGAGCTATTTCGATCGTCAAGTCGCAGGTCGTTTGTATAATGCAATAGAAAGAATGAAACAATTTGTACTCAATATAGCACAAAATGCATGCAATATTCTGTTATTTGTTAAATATATAGTATTTAGAATCACGCACCTATAATATCGTTTGAATGTCGGAAAAACAAAAACAAATGCCTCTGGTGGCGAAAACGAATTGTTAACATACGTACCTTAAGAAATGAGACTTGCCTTGATTGGCTGAAATATACCATAAGATTATTATACAATAAAAACTGCATTTGTTAACTTGTATTCAGATTTCGAACATTGAATATAGGATATGGTTTGTGTTGTTACTGTGGTGCAACTGGAATGCGTTTTGTGAAATGTTCCCTATATAAAATAGATAATGCATCGCTCATACTGGTTTTTAGATCATGTTTCTAGAGTCCAATGGTTGGTTCATGTGTTGATATATATGTCTAACACTGAAACTAATAATAATATAAATCAGGCTTGCTTCGCCGAATATTTCGTTTGAATAATATCAACACTTTTTTGTGTGATATGCAATTCCTAATACCTGGGTTGATGCAAGTTGTGGCCATGGAACACGAGTCAGTCTTGCCAACAGGGCATAGTGTTTCCCGATAATGCGACATTCCAGACAACTTTCAATATTTCAAATACAGATTTGTAATTTCCAGAATCCATTGAAAGGTACTCGTTGATTTCTTTCTAATTTTTGAATTAAATCATGCATATTAAGGTAGAGATGCAGTTTACCTGACAGGTATTGTAATTAGTTAATTAGGAAACCAAGACGACCTCCCTGGTCCACAAAACTATATATTTTCGGAAAGCTTATTGTATGAATTTTAAAATTTTTTGGTATTTTTTTATGGACAGTGTAGTTTGAAATATGCACAAAAATGTGCTTTTTTGGTCAAAAGTGATTTAAAAAAATTAGCTTCTAAACCATGCTTCTGTTTCCTGTCAAAATTGTTTTACGGCTACATCTGTTTACTATGAAGAAAGTGCCGTCTTGAAAACTGTCTACCAGTTGTCAATTTTGAAGGGCAGCAGCTCAAATTTCACTACTTCAAGTTTATGCATAAATTAACACCCACGCTAGTTGTATGTACGACTGTTGTAACACTGTTCAACCCAAACAAATGCCCCGACGGCGTTTTGAAGATAAACACATTGTCAATCATTTGTGAAAATTTCAAAACACAAGGTCAAAGCGTCTAGGAGCTATTTTTTTTTAAAGTTCTGGAATGTGCACTAAAAGAAGCTGAGATAATTGCTAATTTGCATAACAATTCACTCAGTAAGAAGTTTGCTAATGCTCATAATTAAAATGCCTGTAACAGTTCCAAATTTAAATGTACTATCGTTTTGTTAAAAGTTAAATATAGTGCATAATATGGAGATCCGTCATTTTTTCACCATGTTTCTTTTTATTATTTATGTACAGCCTTGCTAAATCTTGCTAAGCATTCAAAAAAGAGAATGTTTGCACTTGTTATGTATATTTTAAAATTGTCTTTTGAGTATGTTCCACTATTCACAATTCTACAAAATTTTAACAGTCTATAGCCAAGACTGTTTGGATAGTAAAAAGCAAACAAAATCACTCCCATGTGCCCACAATTCTGCATCGTCCTACATCCAAATTTCCGTCAAAGCAATACAATTAACAACGTTTCTAGACATTTCCATGATTTAATCATGCTTTTTCTCACAACCAAAACAATATTATCAGTCTGTGCAAACAATAATTCATACTACATGTTAGTCATCCCAGAACAAAATCCTGACAATGCAATTTACGTTTCCCGACTCCCTAAACAACTGTCCATGATTTACTTCCACATTTTGAAGTGACCTATCCATTCCCTACTACCACTTTCCTAAATTTACATTTGTAAAGACATTCCACGCGGTAAACGAGTAAAGACAAGTTTATTGAGCAAAAACGACTTACAGACACAAACTACAAAACTAATGAAATTACAATTCAATAAGATACAATTCATAAAACTACAATATTGGGCAGGGGCCCACTTCTACCCACCAAGACAGCACGTGCCCCCCTGAGCAATGGATTTCGGGATCCAAAAGAAGGAGGGGGAAAGCCTGTATGAGGCCGCCCGACCTTGAACTGGGGGTCAGGATGAAATACAATGTCCAGGGAAGAAGCTAGCCAAAAATAAGGGGGACGAAGGGGATGGTGGTGGGATAACGAGCGAAGAGAATACAATGCTTGAGGAGTGACGCGTAAAAAACAATGAATGAAACTGCTGAACAAAAGAAAACAAAAGAGGTAGGGACGCTACAGTCTGTGTGCACAAGCTGGCTATGATTGGCTGGCGAAAAGAAGCTGATTGGTTGACAAAGATGTGAGCTGATTGGTCGAAATAAACAGACTGTGATTGGTTGAGAGCAGAGCATCCAGAATCCTAAAATTGCGAGAGCACACTGCGGAATTTCCTGGTGAAATTTACGTCATGCATTGTCCGTAATCAAGTCCATTGAAATGCGTCTCCGATAATCAAAAGACCTATTATTCCGATTTCTATGCAGGTTTATTTTTTGTCCCCAAATTATTTCATACTTGACACCTTTAACAGACTATTATTCTGTGGCAAAGCATTTTCTTTTAAAACCCAGACATATTTTGCACCATTATTATCTTTTGAACGATAACTGCGAGTTTGAATGTCCTAATCCGAACGCACTTGATTTGGCGGCGGTCCCAATGAGTCGTACTCGATCAAAACTTCAACTCGAGAAAAACGCGAAAAACAGTTTTGGTTAATAACACACTGTAGATTTGCTGCATTATTATAAATATACACTAAAAATGGCCAAACATATTAACCACTGATATCATAGAACTCATAAAGAGTGTCAGAT